CCCCCAATGGGGGTTCCTATTGGCCCCTTTGCCCGGATCCCGCTTTCCCGCTTTTTTGTTTATATTGGGACAAACTTCCCCCCCCCCAAGGGCGTTTTCCTCTCTCGAGTTTTTTTTTCGTTTTCCGAGGGAAAAAACCCCCATTCATATGGGCACCCGGGGGGCCCCGGGGTTCTCCCCCCCTTTCTATTTTTTTCACTTTTTCCCCGCCGCGCAAGGGCGTTAGGAACCCTTTATCCGCAAAAAAGGGTTTTTTCGCCAATTCCAAACCCCTTGGCCCCTTTGAAAACCCCCTTGGGGTTTTAAAACCGGGGGGGGATTGAGAAAGTTTACAAAGCGAATAAAAAATTTTGGCCTTTTCCAAACCTTTGCCCGGAAATATTGGTTGTTTCCCCCCCGACCCCCCCCCCCCCCCCCCCCCCCCTCTCTTCTACAGAAATTTGTTCTTCTCCTCATTCACATGATCCCTACCAACAAACTTACTTTGGCATCCGACTTGCACCAACAAATGAGTAACTCCATGGACAAAGCCATCAGCGCTTTTGACGAATAAAGAAGAGCACCCGATGTCTATCCAATTTTTTCTCTTTTCCTTGACATTGTAAAACCCCCTAGCCTCGAACCCTACCTCACCTCCTGTTCCGCAAGGTGCTGGATCCATTTAATACTCTACACTAGTCCCCCGTTGAGAGTTACGTCGTTTTGTAAGAGCTCCCCGATCATCAAAGCACGATTCCCTACGAACCAAGTTTATTGTATTCCCTTACGTGCTTCAAATCGATCTCTCAACTCGCTAAATGTGCCTGATTCCACTCGAATTTTTCCGAGATTATATTTATCCCACCTTCCCATGTGTGAAAAGAAAAGAAGCCGATGTGTGCAATCAGAATTGGATGTCTCCAATTTAAAATGAACAAGGGCGACTGCCCTACCATATACGCCCCCGGCTGAGGGTTTAACTCCTGCCTTCACTGCTCGCAAGGCCCCGCAGAAACCCACCTGCAATGTTAATTTATATGCCTTTTCGTCCGGCCGTCTAGCTAGTTGAATGTGCGGGGGAGGGGGCAATCCAACGCCCCTGAACAGACCAGTGCGCGTCCAATGGAAACACTCATCCGAAGGTTTGACTACCTTCAAACCGGTCCTCCGGCCTGCAAGGAATTAGCTGGCTTTCGAATATCCAACAGGTGGTAGTAATAATAACCATTCAAAATCTCGCCACTGATTGTTCGGAAGGGATTATTACATAAGAATGTCGACTTAATGATAAACGAGTGGTATGGCCGAGAGGTTAAAAATGAAGTTTTCAGGCTCATGTTGAGATTCTTGAACCGGAAACTTCTGTAGAAGGAATGACCTTGAATCTCCGAAGCGCTCTTTCTAAATTATGGCCGTTTCTCATGATTTGAATCCCTTTGGATCACAACTCTTATGTATATTTATAGCTGTCGAGGTTGTACTTTGGGATCATAATTAGTGACTGATCTTGGCTGGCCATGTAACCTTCGTGGTGTTTTAATACTTTTCCTATGTTTGGTGTGCCGATTTTTTTTGTCTCTCCAGGCCACCTTGCCAAGTTCTGTCGTTGGCTCTCAGTTTGGTGATGCCTATGTATATGGGAGTGAAAACATGGCAGTTTACGATCCCCACATTCGCATCGTGTTTTTCTCCTTTTGGGAATGAGTTGGCATTGCGTCATTTTCAAATGCAATTGGCACTTATCGATTTAACAGTTTTGGACTGGTTTTATCCACCGGATCATTACTGCCCGGATAACTACATAAGATCCAACCGACTCCCAATTCTTTCCACCTCAATCCTCAACCAACTTACATCCTCAACCAACACCAACACCAACACCAGCACAATCATCTCAACCTGATCAAGAACCAAGCCTCTGATTACATACTTACTATCGACCGATCGATGATCAATCACCCTGCAAACTCATCATCCAAGAACAACCACTCGTCACCAAACCAACACCAGTTGAACTTCAAACCAACCAGATTAAGTCAAAACCAACGCAGAGCAAACGACCAACAGACTTTCTCTCATGTCAGTACTCCCCCCACACACACTCTCTCTTCACTCCATCTCCTCAATCAATCAAAACTAACGATTCATACCACAGCTCTTAGGATTCACCTTACCACCTCGCTCGGCTCAATCTAATCAGTCATCATCCTCTACTCGTCGTCCTGCCAGGAAGCAACATGCTCACACTTCTTATTACGACAAAGATCGTATGTCTTCCATCATCTTCAATCTAGTTTTTGTTTTTTTTTATCCACAAAACCTCTTATCTCATCATATTCATTTCACAGGATTTGTCCATGCCAAATATCGATTTATCTTGAAACCTACTGGCGATTACACAGTTCATTTTGCCGATCCGGACATTCGATTCAATTGGCCAGGTTACTTACATTTCTTCTTGCTATCCCACTAGATTTTCACCCACTGATTCCCTGGTTTTTTGATCTTCTCAGACATTCTACAAGTGATTGTGAACCATTCAACCCACTTGCATACAGTCTCCAACCATCCTCAAACCTCCGATCTCGATCCAGATCTCCCCTTTGAGAAGCATGCCTGTCCAATCTGTTTATCCGAACCCACCGCTGCACGAATGACCAAATGCGGCCACATTTTTTGTTATCCATGCATCCTTCACTACCTCGAACTGTCTGATGATGGCAAGGCCCAAGGTCGAAAATGCCCAGTATGCTATGAAACTATACTCAAGAAAGATTTGAAGAGCGTCAAGTGGTTCGACTGCAGTCCGGAGCAGGCAGGAGATCATCCAGACCCTGTCTCGGATCTGATGACCTTCCGACTGATCGAACGTCCTAACTTCACCACCCTAGCGCTCCCTCGTTCCACCACTTGGCTTTCCTCTGCCGTTCCGACTCACCATTCCCCGTGGCAGTTTACTCCCGATGCGCTCACCTTTGCCAAATTCATGCTGGCATCTCCCGATTACATGACGACTGAGCTTAACAAAGATTTAGAAGAACTCCATAGCGAACGCTTATTACTCTCCAAGTGGTCAAGCTCGCAGGATGGATCGGAAGACTTGGGTATCGTCTTCATCCGGGCCGCAGAGGCCAAAGTTAGAGAACAGATTGAGAAGGTCGGTCTACTGAAGACTACGTTCGTCATGACGGAAAAGAAACAAGCCAAGTGGAAAATAGATCAAGCAGTCGAAGAGGCCAACCGAGGCCTCGATTCGGCCAATCAACTCCAGATCTCGACTACTACCGATGAAGAAGAGTTGACGCCTATCCCAGCTACGGTGGAAAGTCTTATTCCTCAGAGCCTTGATCAGCCGGCCTTTCTACCAAATCAACGTGAACACACTCTGCTTATCAGTCCTGGCGATTTCAACAACAACAATACTCATGACGATGTTCCTAAAGCTCCAGAGTCACGTTTGGTCCAGTCGGACTTTGTCTCGTCAACCGCACCAAAACCCCGAAAAAATGTCAATCCACCCGAACCAACCTCAACTACCTATCGTTTCTACCAAGCTGCCTCAGGAGAACAGATCTATTTATCTGCCCTCGACATTCGTGTTCTCCTCACCAAGTTTGGTTCTTTCGATTGTTTCCCGAGTTCTATCACACTAAAAGTGGAAGGTTGGAGTGAGGTGAGGGTATCGGATGACTTGCGACGACGATGTCGATATCTTTCACATCTGCCGACGGGCAGCGAGGTTCGAATGGTCGAGGTGGACTTGGATGAATATCTTGGAGATGACTGCTCGTTAGTCGAAGCTGTTCGAAAGAGGCGGGCGAAGAGACGCGAGAAGACGAAAAAGGAAGACAAAGCGAAGACGAAGAGTGAGATGGTCGACCAATCAAGCTGGAATACTTTCACAACCAAGTCGGTCCCAGATTGGGTCGCCCCCGTTGGCGTGAAAGACCATCAAACAAGTGGACCAATGAATCATTCGTCTTCAGCAGAAGCGCTCGTGTCGGTCGATTTATCAGGAGGTTCTCAAAGACCAATCGAATCTGATGGACAACCCAGTGGATCAAGAACCGTCTGGGGTACCTACATCCCATCGAATGCGACGAGTTCGGGTGCTCCAGCAGACCAAGTGCACGATCCGGATGATATTTGGGCTTCACATCAGGTCCATCTTGGCTTGAATAGAGCCAGGGCTGGTGTGAGAGCTGAACTCAACACAGAGGATCTGGACGATAGTGATGATGATCAAGAAGGTGGTGAAGGTAGCAAGAAAAAAGGTGGCCCTCGGAAAAAAGGCAAACAGAAAAATCGCAAACATGTCAACAAAGTCGTCATCAATCTGAGCGGCGGTACTGGTGGTAGAAGATTCTGATTGGGGTTTTTTTCTTCTGTCAAATTATCATCGGCGTTATCCACTATGCTCTTCTATACCCACTACACCAAAACCAAGAAAACAAGATCTAAAAAACAGACAAAATCACAATTAAAACCGACAAAAAATTACTTCAAAGCAAATTGTTCATCTATTATTTCTTCTTCACTGAAGCGGACATGTTGCCCAAAAGCATTTCTCTTTCTCTGCCCTTTCCTCTGCCTCGATTCTCCGTCTTGATCCGTTTTCCCATGTTTGTCTTAAAATTTATATTTATTCAATCCTCTTTTTCTTTCCTTGAAGCATTTCTCCCACTTTTCAATTTTCCTTCTAACAAGTGAGTGTTGATTTCATATATGTTCATATGTGTATGCATGACTGTGACGTTTCTGGGTGAGTTAAGTTGTATAATTTAGTGAAATAGTCTTTCTCAGATTGAATATACAGATAATACTAAACAAGCATCCCGACTTTTACTACATGTGCTATCCAAATCAAATCTCAAATATCACTTATATGTTTTTGCCACACCGTTCGAATCCAATCCTGATGCCTAACTCTGTGTTGTGGGTCTATGTAATAAATAAAATATGGTCCAAGTGAATGACCAAATCACCTGGTAAATCACATTAATACTTCATTCTAGGAATTGTGGATAGTCATCATGACCGATAATCGGGGCCAAATAGAGCGCCAAACTTAATGTGTTCACATCTTACAAAGACATTTTGATCTGAAGACATAGCCTCCAGTGAAGAAAGCAAAACAGTAAGACAATTATTACAAAGAGGACATCAATCAAATGTAATACTAAGGAGGATAGCTCATCAAATAAAAGAAAAATGTCATTGATGCACATGGATAATAACAGTTGAAGATGCGATGGTTTGGAGAATAGTGGTAAATGAAGTGGACAACAGTTGAATTCTGAGTTGAAACTAACATTTTTTTATTGGACATGGTACATCCTATGCGGCATTTCTTGTTTATAAGTCATTTTTATCGTAAAGCTCATTGATAGCTATACGAGGCTCCGTTACCCTGCTGCACAGCCATTTGAGCAGCATATTGTTGCGCTTGGATTTGTGCGTGCATGTATTGTTGCTGTTGCTGTTGCTGTTGCTGATGTTGCTGTTGTTGCTGTTGCTGTTGCTGCTGTTGTTGTTGTTGTTGTTGTTGCTGTTGTTGTTGTTGCTGTTGTTGTTGCTGTTGCTGTTGTTGCTGTTGCAATGCTTGCTGAGCAAGATTTGCTTGATCGGGTTGCTGCCGCGGTTGAGCAGCTGCTTGGTTTTGTACAGGCGCTGACTGAAAATACTGGTGACTCAAGGCATCTTCACAGGACAAGCGTTGGGAAGGATCGAACTTCAATAGCCGCTCCAATAAATCGGCGGCTACAATGATGATTCTAGGGTCAGATTTAGTCAAGTCAATGTCATCGGCTTAGGGTGTCTCCACTTACCTAATGGATGTGCCTTAGGGTAAAGCGATTGGAACGAAATCCTAGCTACTCGAGGGAAAGGTCTGAGTTGAATCTCAGGCTGTAAGGGGAATGTAGAATCGATGAAAGAGAAATCACCAGTTGAGGTCTCAAAATTTCATTGATTGCGGGATTCAAGGGATCGGAGAAACGAACCGATTCAGTTTGGATGCGCCTCAAAGTGACTTCATCGGGTGTGCCAAGGACCCGTAAGATTTGGGTAAGCTGGTCGTTATTGTCCCGACCTCGGAACAAGGGTACCCCGCTGATCACTAAACAGCGTACGTGTTCAAGCAAATCAACTCAACGAAACGCACAGACAAAAGAATTGCAAAAAAAAGTCACATACTTTCGGCCATAATGCAACCGGCGCTCCAAACATCAATACTAGTACTATAGGTCCGACTACCCAGCAGGACATCGGGAGCGCGATACCATAGGGTGACCACTTCATTTGAGAAGGTATTAACGGGTATTCCAAAGGCACGAGCCAGGCCAAAATCAGCCAGCTTGAGCTCGCCTCGCTTATTGATCAACAAGTTTTGAGGTTTCAAATCCCGATGAAGGACGCGATTTTCGTGGCAAAAGGCAGTACCTTTGAGTAACTGCTCATGTAGGCAGCAAGAACGTTAGTGAATACAACATCAACTGAGAGGGGCCTGAGTAGGAAGTGATGCGGACCTGGTACATGAAACTTCGTACGACCGGAGCCTCTAGAGCGCCTCGTTCACCATGAGTATCCATATACTTCTTCAGATCGAGGTCCATGAACTCAAAGACGAGCATCAGCTTAGTCTCGGTGTGAATGACATCGTATAGTCTGACGATGTTGGGGTGTTTGAGTTCTTTCATGAGGCTGATCTCTCTGATCGCAGTTGAAGGGGTGCCTTCCTCAGCATCGAGATGAATCTCCTTTAATGCGACGATCTCGTTGGTGATCCTAGAGCGACCCTAGATTACAGAGCAATCGAATATAAGATTGGGAGAAGAAGGCATGTCAGATCGAAGTTATGATGGTGAGCTTTGCGGGTGAAAGAACTGACCTTATGTACTGTGGCGTAGGTCCCCTCGCCAAGCTGTTGATGGGGAGATTGACGATGAAAGAGGATGTATGTATCAGCGATTGGGGAGAGCGGAAGTTGTTTGGTGATTTTGATATGACTGCTCAGGTTCTGGAACAAGGAAGAGGCACCTTTTCCATTTGAACGTAACTACGAAAGTCCGACGGTTGGTTAGTCTTATCGCATGAAGCTGATAGATGGCAAGACTCACTTCATGATCGGATGTCAAGCTGGGTTATCTATTTTTCTGGGATGGTTGATTTTGAGAAGCTGGATATTTGCAGAGAGGAAGCTGATCAAGGAGTAAAATTAATTATTTATTATTATGGCTGAGACCCAGACTGAGTGTGCAAAACTATGTAAGCCACTATAGCCGTAAACTTTATAATTTTTAATTCTCAGTCGATGAGGCGCGAGGAGGGGAGGCTTACATAATCCCGATCATACATACATAACAGGCACAGCTGAAAAAACCTGGAAAAACCAACCGACCAATGTCCCATCAACCGCAACGGCCAGCTGCACCATCCCGGCACTACACAAAACGGCCTACTCCTACATACTACAGAAGACCGCAGCCAAAGAGACATCCATAATAAATAAATCTAAAAACCTCAGGAAGATCTACGCGGAAGGACATGCCCTATCCGCATTGTATTTGATCCTGACATTCATACATGATTTCGGAAGCATCATGCTTTTCAGGATGCACAGAATAACCATATAAGGGGTCTCCTGGCAGTTTCTCTTTGTTCATCAACTCATCGAAGCCAAGGAAGCTTGATTCGAAAAGATATTTACAGCGATAACTCAAATATTCGAGAAACCGCCTTTCTGATCATTGGCTTAATTATCCATGGTTTATCTTATCAAGACTTTATAATCCGTGTGTGATCTTTGGTTCAGGAAAACCCCGTCTCAATAGGATTCAAAACCAGACCCAATTGGCTATGTGGCGCAGGCCTCAATGTCCTCGTAAGATTGTGCCGCGTGGTTTTCAACCCATGCCATGTATAAATGTTTTAAAAAGAAATAATATTTATTGAGTACCAAAAAAGATGATCTCGGAAAATGGTTTGAAAAACGGCTCAAATATTTACAACCTAGGAAAATTAAAATTAAAACGTCCAAAAAATTCATTACCCCTATCGAAATATACCATGAGATTTATATATGACATATATCCTCATCCTCAATAATCCCTCATAATCTACTTCACGTTCAAAGTTATCAAAGCGTCACACTTTCCTCCTGGATCCCATTGAATGCTTCTGGCTGGTTTGAAGGGATAGGCGGACTGATGATGTATTTCAGTTGACTCTGTCGGTTTTTTGACTTGCTAGAAGACTTTTTCGATCTTTGATTGGACACCGGCGTTGGCTTGACATGATCTGACATAAGCTGTAGGCTTCGCATCGGGGTAAGCGTTGGCTGCTTTTGTCGGAGAAGGAGCGAAGAGCTTCGGCTTGGCTGATTTGTTCTCGAATTGGTTGGTAGGTGGGAATCATCGGAACAGAAAGTCAGTTGCCAATCCTTCTGCTTGTTTCTTTAGAGAATACTAAGAAGGCAATTATGCATAGATTAGGAACCAAGACTGACCAATGCAGTAAATTCACCAAGTGCTTTCTCAGGTAGAGACAACGATGCTGAGATTCTGTTGACAATTGGCCATGAAGTATTTGTCACCGGGTTATCTTCCTGGATGTATTCAATGTCTTTATGATTCAGTCTCATAGGATTTTCAGTTGGTGATAGGGTATGGTTCCCAAACTCACAGCTACCGGAACAACCTCAGACGGAAATGTATCGGCAAAAAGTTCATCAAATTCCTCCTCTTCTTCCGATGAAAGTGGTTTCTATATAAAGGTTGGTTCGTCGTTAAATAATATGGGTCAGATGGACATCTTCTCTTTACTGAAAAATACAGATTCTTGCGACTCACATGTTCAGAGATGTTATAAGTGGATAAATCAAATCTGCCTATGTCCTGCACATCTACTTCACTTGGTCTGTTAGGCCTGCGTGGAATGATTTCTTGTTTCGGGTCGGGTTGTCGTCCATTTTCAGGGTCAGATTCTTGAACTTTTTCAAACGTGACGCTCGCGCTGGGGCTCTCGCTCGGAGTAGTCGCATTTTCTTTAAGGAGAGCGTAAACTACAACCGGGATTCAAAGTCAGAAAGCTATTTGACATATGAAAGATTTTTTTTTTTAAAAAGAAATAGGCGACTTACCGAGGGATAGTGACATGAAGCAAATTGTGAGCCTTTGCAAGAAGAAGAAAGCTTGACTGGCATGAAGAGCCACAGTGAAATTTGAGGAGAGCGAAGAACAAGCACAAATAAAGGAGCTTATCTCCAGAATGAAAACCAGCGTGTAGCTTGAAAGGAAGAAGTTGATGATCGAGGCAAACGTGAAGCGTTCAAATTTCCTGACAAACCAAAATTTAGTCAGGGTTTAGCTCAATCTTTCTTCGGAACATAAGATCGATTTGGTTATCTAATCTGTGCTTGTAGACTCACACCGCTGCATTCCTCAGCGACTCCCTCTTGATCATTTGCCTTTGTTTCATGTATGAACCAACGAGTAGAAAGCTAATCAAACCACTTGAAATGGTCGAGGTGATCAAATACGCCCAAAAAAGCCTCTCTGATACGGGGGTCCCTCGATTGTGTGAGCTTCGAGCGAGACTGACAACTATGGAATGAGTACACAAATGGGAGGTGCAATTAATTAGTCGAGATAGTTCATCAGACCAGCGAAAAACAGAAGAAACAAACCCATAGCAATGCTTGAAGAAGCTCCTCCTACCAGACTGATGATACCTAACAGCCCCAAAACTGTGAGAAGCTTCAATTCAAGGTGATTCCTACAAGCTTTGTGAGAAAAGTATAGTTGGCTGGTGGCGTTGACAATGCTAAAAAATCATTTGCACATATCGGTCAATTGTTGTGAGCACAAAAATAGAAGAGTAATTCAGAAAGGTAGCTTTGTTACGAACGCAGTTAGGATGGGGATTAATGCAAAAGTCCAAGGAGTTTTTTGAAAATAGCTGAGATCCCGGGGGTGTTCGACGGCCGCTTGATATACATGCTTGAGAGGAGGAAAGCAGAGCGCAAAATTGAGTACACCATATTACCTCTGCGTTAAATCAGATGAATGCAGCTTACCACCAACTCTATACTGGTTAAGACAACACAGATTGTAGCTACCAAGCCAGCGCCTGCTCTCGTCATTTCCGTCCTTGTTGGCCTGCTATTCGTGCAGGGGTATTCAAAATATCCCAACTTCGGGATCCCACGTGCAGAGGTCTTGGAGATATAACGCCAGGCGAAAATTGAAACAAGTAATGTTATAGAGCAGGTGAATGGCACAGACATGAGTTGAGAAGCAAGGATTGCTGTCACAATGGCCTGTCCGGGAGAGGACTCAGTAGACATGATTCGAGTTGAAACCAAGTATTTTAATCAATGGGACTGGTAACCGGAGTGAAGAATTTGATGTGCGGTCGTCGAGTTGATGGGGATCCTGAGGGCCGTTTGCAGTCAAATTAGAATACTACAATACCAAAGAGCCACTAAAGCAAACAAAGATCTATCAAAGATCAATCAAAAATTGAAGGAGTTAAATGAAACAGCAAATGCAAATATTAATAAGAAGGTGGTCGCGAAGATGCTCAAACAGGACAGCAAACGATCCACGAGGAGGGTAGTACTTATGCAACTTGAAAGCTTCCTATCTTGAGCGGCCTGCATACTAGCGATTGATTCTTGACCAAGCAACCTATCTGAACGACAAACGGAGATGGACTAAACTTGATAAGTCACAAGATTTTTCCAACCGGCCTGCCTTGGAAGATAAGGCGGAGACGGATGGTAACCATCTTTGGGCAGCTCCGGTCACGCAGTTCCGGCCACAATATTTATGGTCTACATCCGGCTTCGGCAAAAGGACGCTGGGGCGGTGGGTGCAAGGTCTTGAGATCAACAATCACTCGGGCTTGTCTAGAAACAAGTCGCTGCCTCGCCAACAGCGTATGTATAACCCGAGCTGATTTGCTTTTGGATGACTCGTCTGTGCTTTTTCCTCTGTGTCTTGATAGCCAACATGTAATACTAATCATCCCTCTTCGATAAATCCGACTAGTCATCTTTAACAGTAGCTTAGGCTATTCGTCAATGTGCGCTGCAACGCACCCTGACAAGTTCATGTGACCATGACTACGGGTTAGATATCAGGCCAACGTGAGCTTTGTTTGTAGTGGTGAGGGACCAAACCGCCAGGCACACAGGCGCCATTGCTGGTGATGCGCGACGTCACTTGCCACCACCTTCTCCTCTTCACGATTCGTGTGGATAATCGATGTTTCCTTGCAGACGGAAGCGAATCTTGGACAGGATAGTTAGGACCAGTACTTGGGTTTTGCCACACATAAATAGTAGAGCAGCCACTGGCATCATCCAGCCAGCGCATCCTTTCTTAGCCGTTCTCAACAATCTGATCATTGGTGAATATGTACATAATTTCTGCGCCAGACAACAAATAGCCCAGCATCCTATGTCTGGCAGAGGCACAAACAATCTGGTGTTGAAGTGGTCAACGACTTCCCAAAATTCTCCAATATGTTGTGATGACAATAGCAGGGTTGATGAGCAAAATTAAAAGACCTGACCTTCCTTAAACTAATAAGTTTGCAAATTTAAGCTCTAAATTAAGATGAATTTAAGCTCTAAATTAAGATGAATTTAAGCTCTAAATTAAGAGATCACTGCCTTCTGGAAGATGATCTCAAAGCTTTCTGAAGTTGATACTGGATGAGTTATTAATTTGAGGTCTAGTCTCATGTAAAAATCTTGTTCATTTCCACCTTCCAAGAGTGATTGTCCTCCATGGCCATCCAAGGGATCCAAATCTGATTGGGGAAAATCTGCTGAAGAGATAATTAATCTAGTTCCTGAACTTTCCCCTTGATGAGTTCCAACAGCGGTGGGCCGCTACGCTTTTGGCCCAAAAAGTGTAGCATAGCGGCGCTTTTTTTGCGCCAAATTTTTGTAGTGTTAGCGCTTTTGTAGCGCATTTTCGCTACGCTACGCTGCGCTACAGCGCTTTTAGCGGAAAAAGCGGCTAAAAACCGCTAAAAACCGCTGTAGCGCAGCGTAGTGGGCCCTTTTTTGTGGCCCACATGCGTAGCGTTAGCGGTGTCGTGGCGGAATTCCGCTACGCTACGCTTAACGCTAATGGGAATTCCGCTGCGTTACGCTACACTAACCGCTACGGTTAGTGTAGCGGCCCACCGTTGGTTCCAATTACTTCAGGTATGAATACTATTTGATTTTTGCTGGGGTACAGAGTTCATTTCAAGTCCAAGCACCAGGAAAAATTTGGAACCTGCATGCAGGTGCCTCATTGAAACCAATTCATATCCTGGGAATATGTGAGACAATAAATTTGAACATTCTCCAAAATCATCAGGGATTATATCTCAAGCTCTATCCCACCTGTGTGCAAAATTTAATTGGGATTTGCATGTATAAAATCCCACATCTATGTCTATCTCCAAGTCTCAAGATTATATCTATACCTACACTGAAAATTACAACTGTTTCCACCACTTATATGAGCTGAATATGCTTTCAAATCCCCTTCTGTCTTGTAGCTAAAGTAAGAGCTTATGAGTTTACAATGGAAGGAGATCAATTTTTGGAAATTATTCAGCATTTCAAAGAGTATGATCAATATGATAGGAGAGTCTGATTATTTATGAATCTAGCACACATATTGACATCAAAATCATAATGTTGAACTTAGATGAAAAATAACACTGACAGAAAGCAGACATCCAGAAGATTTAGAACTCATTACACATCATGCAGTTTTCATTTCATTGCATGATATCTGACATGATTTGAATTGAGAAGTCAAACCACCAGTTTTTGAAATTTCCTGGCCCTTGTGTGTGAATAAAGTTGCAACTTGAAAAGTTGATTATGCAGATCATTTGACAATTCACTATATCATGTTCATATTTTTTGTTTTCTCACTCCCATGAAAATAAATACATTATCAATTTAAGCTAAGGCAGTGCAAGATAATATTTCAAAGAATCAATTGTCGCTCCATTACACTGTCTGATTGAACTTCTCTTTGAATGTAGGCAATGAGAGTAACAGTGGGAGGTAAGATGTCTCCTCCATCTTTAGATCAAATCATCTTATCATCTCTAATAAGTTCTTTGATTACAGCTGATCCTAATTGGCAACTGAGAGCTTCAAGCAAAAGTTCACAGAATTCTTCAATGCTAGTATTATAACCCATCCTAACTAGATAGTGAGTTACTGCTTCAAATCTAGTCTTGAATACTTGCAATTCTCTGAGAGTCTGAATTCCTCCTTTACTGATGGGGTGTCCGCCTTAGAGCCAGCCAAGCTGGCCAAAAGACTGCTTAAGTCCTCCTTTTTCATTCAAGTCCCTACTGTAACCTTTTCATCTTAATCTTTTATTGCATTCTGACTACAGAAATGAATTCCTCTGTTAATTTTAACCTTAGTCACCCCTACACACTTATACACTCCTCTTCTCCTTCACAGACTTTGTAGTATTTCACCGCACCATTGTGAAATATCAACCAAGCTAGAATTCCAACTCTCTACCACATATACATGTTGTGATTATGTAATCCAAATCTGAAAATTTTCTCAGCAGACATTGAGTTTGCATTTTCAGGATCTTCAAGGTTCAGACCCACCCAGAACCAACTCAGACCTGAAAACCAGCACAACTCAACTTGGATTCACCGCCGTATCATTGCCGTGTCAACGGTGGGCCAGTTACACTAACCGTAGTGTTAGTGTAGCGTAGTGTTAGCTTTTTAAGCTACACTACACAAAAGTTACTGTTAGCGGGAATTTTTGGCCCACTAACACTACAGGATTTTTGAAAAACCAAAAAAAAACTTTAGCGTTGTAGTGTGCCAAATGTGTTTCAAGTACCAAATTGCATAAAGTCATGATCCACTCTTGATTATAGGCTAGATTCTTGGTGTTATTATTACTTAAATAGATTCTACAGGTCATTTAACCCATAGTCACTCACTGGAACCACTAGGCTAGCTCCACTCAGTCAAAAGTTATTTGATAAATCAGTTTTTTACTACAGTATAGTATAGTTGTCTTGGGTAGTACATAGTATAGATTTATATATAAGTGCATAGTTGCAATCTTTGTTTGTACAGGCATATGTATGATCACATGTTTAGTCACATGCTTGGATCACACGTATTTTCACATGACATCACCAGCCACACGCTTGGATCACACGTATTTTCACAACAGACCAGCAAAAATGCCTCAACATAGAAAGAACATTCCGCAACACGTGTGATTTTCTGTATGGGGCAGTGCAGATCACATGACACACCAGCAAAAATGGCTCAATAGAAGCTTCCAAGCAGCTAAAATCCCTCAAAGAAGACGTCACACCAGCATAAATCCCTCACAGGATGTCCTCACTAGCTAAAATCCCTCACAATTTACTATATAAGGAGGTCATTTCTCCCTCCTCAGATCAGTTCCTCATGCCAATCCGGCACATCTACCAGCTACACATTTCACTCAGAGTCTTCAAGTCAAATTAAGGTAAAATCCAACAGTGTGACCTCAATCAGGTGGCCCATCATCATCTTTCATACCTCAGGAAGCATAGAAGAAGTCAAGTAGCAAGTATCACCCCTTGTGCTCTTAACAAGTCAAAGTGATCTTAACCCATTTGTTCTCTTAACTGAAGGTTAAGGAGGAGGGCAAAAGACACTTTGAATAGTTCATATTTTATCATCAGTCTTCTCTCAGTCTTTTTCATATCAACATTTACTTTACTTCACTCATATAAACATAAAAAAACATACAAAAATATCTCCCAGCCTTTCAACTCTTTCCATTATCTGATTCCAGACTTCTGTAAACCACGCCAAATCTTTTCCACTCAAAATTCCACTAAGTCTCAGCTGATTTCACGTTGATCTAGGTTTGATAAGAGACTGCTACATATAGTTTTCTCCATCAATCAGTTTTTTTTGCCACAACAATAAAATAAATTTGTTGTCAGAATTCTAGAGTAGTACATCAGAGGGGCAGGTCTTTCAAACCACCCCCAACAGTTGTAATAAATTCATACATACCTGAAATATCATAACTGCTATTTCCCCCTCGCAGGACTGCCATCCATCCCAAAGGAGTTCTCACATCTGGTGTCCCAACAGTGGCCAAAAAACTTTCAGACGATCAACAATAACTCTCCCTCAGCCCCAGAAGACTAGATAAAGTGGATAACAACAAGGATACAACTTCGTCTGGCAAAAACCGTGAATTCTTTGACCGGGAAGCCAACACTGCAGAAGGATCATCAAGGACTAAACAAGAACATAGGTCAAAGGAAAGGGAAGTAA